TGGCTTAGAAGAGGTATATCAGGATACTGTGGATATTGGGAAATCCCAGATGTCCCTTTACATATGCCACAGGGCTACCTGGGCTGAGGGAAGTCATATATCACATTATTCTTGTTTACCAATGATGAGTAACCACAGCTTCTGTAGCTAAGCAACTAGGGACCACTACGTTGGAGAAGTTTAAAGAAGTCTTACAACTACTGTTTTCTCCTCCTACTTTTGCTTTTGCAAAGAACATAATTTTACTTTCGCTCAGTATGTCGCTTAGGTGTCTTCAGATACACCCGATTTGTACCTTGATCTGCTGTACTTCCACTTTCTAATTTTCACACTGGGAGACTCCTAACATCCAGCATTTTTGTTTTCAGTTAGGAAATACTCTGTTATTAAAAACAAAAAATCTGTCTTGTTCTTCCAGAAGTGCTGTTTAAACAGAAGCAGATTTTCAGGGAAGGCAAGTCTGTGCATATGAGCACAGCAGCCTTCCTATTGAAAATGGGAAACAGACATACTTAGTCTGAACCTTGAATACCTTTGCTGCTCCTGATTGTTTTAGTCTGGGTTCTAAAAGTGGTCTGTAGCAACTTTTAGCTTAAGTGGAAAGGAGTGTTCTGCTCCCTCTCCTTATTTTTTCTTTATTTTTCTTTCTTAATGAATTGTTTCATTTTGCAGTATAAATATAAAGGAAGAAAAGATTGTTCAATACGCAAAACAGACAAAGTTCAGCAGGCTTCAAAGTTTACAGTGAGCCATACAGGACCAACAAGGGAGTAAAATAATATTTCTTTTCTTTATAGCATTGAAGAATCAAACTTTTTTGTTTATTTTAAAGAGGAAAATACATTTCTCCTCCTTTTGATTTCCTTTAACAGTTTTCTCCCCTAGTCATAACTTTGCTGTAGTGAACATTCACACTCTTTTCAGGAGAGAAGTGCTACAAAACTACTGGTATTCTAGCTTGACAATAAGAATTTTCTAAACAAGAATATAACTGTTATATATAGTAAGAAGTAGAGTGGAGAAGGAAGAATATCTGGTGAATCATAATAAAAAATTTTTAGACTTCTCTTTTTGAAACCTTTATACTGGAACCAGAACACCAATGAAGTAAACTATTATTACATAGGTAAATATATCTGGTGCTTGTTGAATCCCCCAACAATTCATTCTCTCCTGTGTATACTTAGATATAATACTGCTTTGTCCAGTTTTAGCTCATTTGGGCTTCCTGAAGTACTGTTTTGGCTTTGGCAGTTTCCACTGATTGATACCCAATTTGCATCTCTCTCTTCAGTGTTCCAATCACCTGTCTACTTTGCTTCTAATCATATAATTTGTATCCTGTCAGAAGTGTTTTGTCCATGATGTTTACTGCCTTCTAACAAGCAGCAATTAAGGAAAATTTGATTAGCTGGACTATGGGAGAGTCTGAAGACTTCTAAAAAGACTTTAATTCTGTTTTTCCTGAGCAAAACTACAACCTGCAAATTTTTGGCTCCCATTTTGGTTCCAAAGATCTCTTGATTTTGAAGCAGGGCTAGAAGTCTCAATAAGCTACGAGTGGCCAGGCAGTGTGCATGAGCAATGGAATTGGGAAAATTGCTCATTATCAGTCTAGCTGAAAATGATTAAAGTTAGCATGAGCGTTTCTACTGACATAAATCCAAGTAGTCATGTCAGCAGTGAATACTTCAAGAACTCCTCTTTACAGATTTACAGCCCTCATATCCATCACATTTAATTTTGCTGCAGTGCTATTTGTTTTCAGTTACAGTTATCTCCTTTGCTTCATCAAATCTATGATTAGACTCCTATTTTATACTCTGCATCCTAAAAATCTGGAGGGACCTTACTATCGGTTTACTGACTGCAACTTTGATTTCACATCCCCAAGAAAGGTCTCCCAGGTATTTGCTGTGTGGCTTATCAGCCCACATTTCCTTCTAACAAGACAAAGCTTTCTAAATAATCCTCCCAAAATAATTGCTTCTAGGCATGTTTAATATGCAAAAAAATAGCTGCAGTGGCCATGTAAGTATTTCATGACTTGAAGCCATACATTAAAAACAATTGGATGAGAGGTGTTCATTGAAGTATGCTGGCATGTGCTTGAAACAACATTTTTGATATGAGGAAAAGCATCGCATAACCAAAAGCAGCTGTTTCAGGTCTGCCCACAGAGGAGGTAGCTTAGGCAGTGAAATTTTACTCCCTGGCAGAACAGGAGCAAGTCCATTCTTGCAACTCTCTAGTAGAGCAGAAATTTCAGCAAACGGCAAAGCGCTCCTCGTGTATGGAGATTCTGCTAATGTTGTGCCTCTGAACAAACAAGATAGTCCAGGGAGGGAGTGGTCCTGTCAGCATAACTGCACGTCTTCCAAGGGTTTTGCTGGCACAGTTCTGTGGTCATCATCAAGACGCTGGCAGGTGCTGCAGAGCAGATGCAGCCCAGGAGTACCAGAGTATCGGTCCTCCCTACAAAGCAATACTGTGGGATGCAGCCCAGGAGTACCAGAGTATCGGTCCTCCCTACAAAGCAATACTGTGGCTGGATGCGTCTGTGCCCACCCACTTGTTTTGTTTAAGGTGCTGACTTTGATTTCATTGTGTTAGAAACACACTTTCTAGATAGGATTCATAGCTCTTAGTTCAGTTCCCCAAACAGCACAGACATCCACCACTGAGCTCACAGCTGTGGACTATTTTTTTTTTATTATTTTCAGTGCAGTGAAAAAGGCAGTTTCAGAGCTCCGTTCATTAGATGTATTCACTTGTTTACTTCAAAAGGTGGTGACTTGTGTTTCATAGATGCCTGTACCTCTGCACTAACACTGTACACTTTTCATCTTCTACTTGTCCATATCAGAGCAGTTCCTGCCACCTTTATTCCAGAGCAGTCATTGTGTGCATGCTTGTACTGAACTAATGCTTTTGGTTTAAAATTTGTGCCTCCTATTATTAGGGCTGTCTTTTCTGACTGAAGGCTATGACTGATGAGCCTGCCTGAAAAAGGCTGTGAGAGATGAAGAGTTCCCAGCTGTTAAAGACACTAGTGCAGTGGTTTGCAGCACAGCACTGTAAGACAAATCAAACCCAGTGATGGTTTACTTTAAAATGCTGTCCTGTAAACTGCAGGGGCTCACGAGCTGATTTACAAGCAGCTCAGTAGTGCACTTACTGGAAGTTGGGCAGACAGGACATCTAACCTCATCAGTCATTCCAAGCCAAGCATCCCTTAAACTTCTTAAAAGCATCCCTCCAACTCTGCTTAAAAAATAAAATCTGTCTAGGTGATGTTATGAGCAGTACTTTAGTTACTGCCAGATTTTGAGATCTCCAGAAGGAAATCAGGGGCAGTGTATTTATTTTTTTGTTTCAGTTTGTGTTCCCAAATTTTTTGGGGTTTGACTTGCCACCTAACAAATGCGTTTGGTAACAGTAAAATAAATGAAAGCCCTTTTAATTTTCAGGTACAATGTGTGTATCATGGCTTACGGGCAAACTGGAAGTGGGAAGACATACACCATGTTGGGACCACAGGTAGAGGGGAACTTTTCATTCGCTGTAGAAGATGAATCAGAACTTGGAATTATTCCTCGAGCTACCCAAGAAGTGTTCAGGTAAAAATAAAGTAAAGGCTTATTGTCAGTGGTAGTCACCTTAAATTTCATAGAAAGAATGAAATGATGTTTGTAATGTACTTATCATTACAGATTTCAGCTTCGGAATGATTAATATTTATATCTTCTCTGACTGCTGTTTGATTTTTTTATTTTTTATATGGATTTCTAGTCTCTCTCCTGCTTAATCTGATTTTCTAAGACAATAAGATTATGCAGTCTTGCTGTGTGTTATCTGTCCATCTGTCTTTCAAACTCCTAAGTAGCTTTTGAAAATGTTTCAGCCATAGTTGTGGAGTCCAAAAGATAATTAAGTTCTTACAAGTTTAGTGAAAATTGACAATTGAATAGATGAAGAGGATCCAAATTAGATTTAAGTCCCAAAGGATAGTAGAATTTTTAATCACAATCTGCTCCTGCTTCAAGAATTTTTTTACTTGAACCTAATACAGGATGTGCTGCTGTATTAGAGGATCACTGATGTGCTGCTATGTTGTAATAGGAGAGCCATTAGAGGTTTATTATTTCTTTTGGAGAAGTGTATGAGCTAAATTAAAGATCCAGTTTTGTATGAGAATAATATGGAAATACTCTCCTGAATAGACAAGCCCTTAATTTATTAATTTTCCAAGGCTGTGGACAGATAACTTCTTACAGATCTAGTTTGTCATCTCTGTCTGTTCATTGCTCACACTCTGCCAGATTTTATACCCTGAGCTCTGAATGCATTAACAACCAGCAGAGAAATGGTATAAAAAATCTCGGGGCAGGAGGCTAGTGGAGAAAAACAATTTAAGTGAGTATTAATGGCCAGTCTCTTCGCGAACGAAGAACCGGGGAAGGTCTTTCCACCTTCCAGCCTGCGCATTGGATTTTTTTAGGTGAGACACAGTGTGCGCGGAACTGAGCCCACCCTTTAATCCTGAGGTAAGTGAGTACAGCTGTTTGGAAAGGTAAATTTTATATACTGCTTCAGGTATAATTTAACTGTATATTCAGATTCTTCAACTTAACATTATCATATAGATGAGACAAAGCCACAGCTGCAGATACTTAATAAGCACTTTTATCAGATTGTAATTAGAGAATAAATCTTTATTTATACGTTGCTCACTTGTGGTTTGACTTGAACAGTTTTTGGCTTTTTTATTCCTTTTTTTTTTCTCCTTATTTTTATTTTCTAGGCTTATTTCAGAAAAGCCACCAGGAAGTTACTGGGTTGAGGTTTCTGTTGTAGAAGTGTATAATAATGAAATTTTTGATCTTCTGGCCAAAGACAGTTATGGCAAAGTATTTAGCATCAAGCGTGATGTTGTCACAACCAGAGAAGGCAAGAGTGATGTTCCATTGCTTACACATGAGTAAGTACACAAGTTGATCCTTGCCATCCAAACATGATCTGGTGTTAATGCAATGTATAGCTGTCACAAAATTGCATTATAGGCACGAGATTGCTTCTAAACAATGAGTGCTTATTATGTGCAAAAGAACAGTTTTGTTTCTGTTGGCTCAGTCTGTTAGACTACAGTTCACTGCAAATGTCAAAATACTTCCAGAAATAACTGTACAACTAATTTGAGTTATACTCCTGTGTTAAGTGCCTTCCACTCAGAATGCCTGAAGATTGCTGTGTATTTTCTTGCTGCTGGGTCTATGGCTCTTCTTGTCAGCTGTACAATAAGAAGGGGTAACCTAGTCACAAAGCTCTTTCCATGTAGTCTTACTAAATTATAAAATTTACACATAATAATAGAAATTTATGTACTATTTGTAAATTTTTAAGCAGCTGTAGAAAGTTAGCTTTCTGTACATGCACTGGAGTTAAAAAAAATTTAAAAAATAATTAGATTTTAAGTGATCCTCTAATACAAATATCCATTTTACCACTGCTTGGTGTTCTGTTTTCATAACTGGAGGCGTTAAAGTTGGAATTGATACATTGGCATGTTGGCAAACCATTGATATGAACTCATAGTTCTTGAAAATTCAGGTTCTTCCAACTAAAAGCTAAGAAGCAGCTAAGCTTCTCACCATTCACTTTTAAGATGTGTACCTTCCCACCATCGGTGTATGGTAAGTTTGATTCTTATTTACACAACTTGACACTCCCTATACTAGTAGGGAGAGCTAGGGTAGTTAAGGCTACAGCTCTACTGACTGTAATGCCTTCTTTCACTTACTAAGCATTACAAAGACTTGTTCTAGTACTCATGGGAATGATTCCTGGCATTATGTATGTGTGGCATACAAAGCAAATGTATAGAATGTTCTTATTATATATAAGACACCTTGGGTAATTAGATGTTCAAAATCATGTGTTGATAAAAATTCATCTACGAACAAGATGTTTCAGATACTTCATTTTACTAATCTTTATTTTAGAATGTCCTGAGTTGGAAGGAACCCACAAGATCATTGAGTCCAACCCCAGGCCCTGCACAGGACAGCCCCGAGAATCACAGTTCCAGGGCCTGACCACCTCCTGGGTGAAGAACCTTTTCCCAAGGTTCTTCAAGGTTCTTTCCAATGTAAACCTTCTCTGACACAGCCTTATGCTCTTCTCTTATGTCTTGTCACTGATCATCAGAGAGAAGAGGTTGGTTCCCACCCCTCTCCTTCCCCTCACGAGGAAGTTGTAAACTGCAATGAGGTTTCCCCTCAGTCTCCTCTTCTCAAGGCTGTACAGACCAAGTGACCTCAGCTGCTCCTCATATGGCTTCCCCTCAAGGCCCTTCACCACTTCTGTGGCCCTCCTTTGGGCCTTATGGTAGTACTATCAGCATCAGAAAGAAAAAAAATTAGGACAAGCAGTACTAGTGGCACCAGAGAGGTGATGGTACGCAGTGGAATTAAACTACTGGGCATCTCTCTGTCAGCACCCACCATGAGAACAGTTTCCAAAAAGAAATATTTCTGCTTGTATGTTACAGAGGTGTCTAGAAACTTAAAAATATGTCCTGCTTCTTGAGCAAATAATCTTTGTGACAAGAAACATCTTGCTCTATTGAAATGTTTAGAGCAGCATTACAGTTTTCTAGGTTTCTAGGGGAAACACGATGTTTTTCTTCATTCTCTGTAATAATTCTTTGTCATGGTCCGATCCCTACTTTTCCAAGGGAGGTTAGCAGTCATATTTTAAATACATCCCTCCTCCATGCCAATTAAAATAAAGTGCACCCTCAGTGGAAATAATTTTGTCTTGTGGGACTTAGTCACATAAGCAGACCAGTAGTTGTTTGTTTATGTGGGTTTATGCTATTGCCAGAAAGCCTTGATAAAAATACAAGAATGTACTGGAGGATTGCGCAAACATACTTTTATTCTACCTAGTGAGACACATTTACTGACTTATGTTTTCTACCCATTTAATTCCTTATGGAAAAGTAAGACCCCAAAGAAATTGTCAGGTGGCTTTCTTTACTATGGGAGCTGTAGAACTCTCCTTTCTTTCTATGAAATAACAAGCACTGTAATACTCTGGGAAGGATTAACCTTTGTATCCAGGGTATGCCTGCTTTTTGGTCTTGAGGTTAAATACGATTTCCAGAGAAATTCTGCATGCTTCATTGCACTCTGCATGCTCCATAAGAGCATGGAGTGAGTTAAAAGTGACCAGAGGTTGAAGTGGTGAATCCTTTTGCCCTCTCTGTCTGTATTAACAATGACTGGTGGGTTTTTCTTTGTCCCTGTTCTTGGATTTCCCCAACTGTGTCTCTACTCCAACCTTTAGTATCTACTTAAGGCTATGCTGTTAAGGGAATGCAAAACTCCAGAAGAGGCTGGGAGCAGAGCCTAACCTGTGTGTGCTGAATCTTTCTTGAAGGAGCTAATCTTTTGACTAGAGAGGAAAGGAACCGTATGACATAAGAAATGAAGATGAGTGCATGTAGTGTGGGCATGATGGGAGTTGAATTTTCCTGTTTTATCAGAACCTCTAAGTAGTTTTTAATTATGGTAGTTCAGTAACTAAGATGTTGGCCTGGCTTCAGTTCATTCCTGAAAATGCGTACTCCACTTCCCAAGGGAACTTTGCGTAGTTAGTGGGTGACCCATACCTTTTTGTAGGTTTTGGAGAGGGGAGAGGTGAGATGCAGTGTGACCTGTGCCATAGAGACAAGAAGCAGAAGCTGCAGTAAGGTTTCATTTGTCCTTCTAGTTAATAAAATGGCTGCTCTGTTTATTTCTGTAAATTTTAATTTATGTTAAAGGAACCTGGCGCCTTGAACTAAACCTCTTAAAAACCACTTATCTCAATCAGTTAATACTAAATTCTAATGCAAATATAAATAAAAATATGGACTTGTACTTCAATTACAATGCAAGCAGTGAAACAATTCCAATTCATAAACAGGTTATATTAATAATTACACAGAAAGGTTAATAAGAAAAAGAAAACCCAAACAAAGTAAGGGAACCATTGAATGAGGCCACCCAGCTGCCCAAAATCTAAAGTAAACAGCTGGTGCTTTGAATAAAAACACATCTTCATTTAGGATAATATTTCATCTAAAATATATTGGCCTGCTGAGTCTCACTGGCTTCTCCATATATCCATTAAAGTACAGTAGTCTCTTTCCTGGTAACATGTTCATCTTACTGAATCACAAAAACCTCAAGTCTCTTTCTTCTTTTATAGTTTGGTTGACTTTGGAGAACATTCAGCATCAAATTCATAACCTAACCACAACAGGGCTTCTCTTTGTAGAATCTGGTCCTGGAACGTGCGGCATATAGAGCATGATAAAGTCATAGAGATTATACTTAAATATTATTTCTGTCAGTCCTGCTGAAGAGCTACTGGGCCAAGCTCACCACACTGGGGATGCTGCTTCCCTCCAAAGCCAGCTGCGGCTGTCCAGGAGGTGACCAGCACTGACAGCACACCCTGAGTGAGGCCTGTCTTCTGCAAATGCTCGTTGGAGGGCGGCAGCTCATGGCACTGACCCCTTGACAGGGCACAGCAGCAGCTTGCAGAACCCAACAGCCTGGTGCTGCATCCCAGCCAAGGCTGCGTCCCTTTCAGGGTGTCCAGTCCTGGCTGACCAGCCCCAAGAAGATGCAGTTCAAGACTTGGGAAGGCACGATGTGTGCCTCCTTTGACTGGAGGCAATACTCAGATCACGCCAGTATGAGGCTCTGACTGCAGGAACTAGAGCCACTGCTTCCCTGCTGGTGCCAGGTCAAACAACCAGGGAGATGTCAAAGGCTTTGCTGAAATCCAGAAATGCTGACATTCTCATCTAAGTTGTCGGCTTTCTCATGTGATTTTTCCTGTGAGTCAGTTAAATGTCCTTCTTGTTTCTTTACTTTTTAGGACTGTTGAAAATGCATCTGAATTTTTGCATCTAGTCAAGAAAGGCATACAGCTGAGAGTCAGACACCCAACACTGGTGCATGCTCACTCCTCTCGTTCTCATCTGGTAGTGACGTTGACCATAACCACAGTTGTCTTTGGAGATAACTTTGGTAAGTAGGATGCTACTAAAATGCATCTAAAGCCAATTGTTTTTAGAAAAACAGTCTGTGGACTGTGAGATTTTCATATTGCTTTTTCTCCCTTTTTCCAGTGTTTGATACATTCCCTCAGTTCTTTTCTGTTTTTCTATCTTCTACATATCTACTTAAATAACAGACCACTTGGATGTTTGAATGCTACTGAAACTGAGTTTCATAAAAAGTTATCCCTTTTCTTTACATGTCTTCACTTACAGAGTTCTTGAAGTTTTATAGCATCGAGCAGCTAATGAACAAATGTTATCAGTAAGTCATAAGATAGTTAAGATCTCAGTAAGATAGATAAATAAAGTAGTCAAATCACTTAGAATGAATAATTACATATCATACAAAGTTTGTGGTAAAAAAATGCTAACCATACATTATAGGGATTGCATATGCTTTTGGGTGAGAAATAATCAAATTTTTTTACCTGCTACCTTGCAAAAATGTCCATTAAATTCAGAGTCTCTTGAACTGTTAGTTATAGGCCACTGTATGAAAATGCAGTATAGTTGTCTTATTTACTGTGGCAACATCTCTATTTCTGCTTTTCATTACCACACCAAGACTTACCAGTTTATTGCTTTTGGGGTTTTTGGAGTTAACTTTATTTTCTTTTGCTCATGTTATAATTAGGCTCTCTGTTTCCAGTGCTGTGGTTCATCTCCTTCATACTCTGCAACAACACTATGATTTTAGAAAGTGGGAAATATTTAACATTTTTCCCCTTAGATTGCTATCAGAAATTAAACCAACAGTATCAGCAAAGCAGAACAAACAGTGCCCTTACTTACCTACGGGCCTTGCCAAAAGACACAGTTACTTCAGAAGTTGCAGCTCCAGTGTTTCAGATATTAGCTCTAGGCAGCTCCAGATTCTTGTCAATCAGACAGATGTTACCATTTTCAAAACTCAGTGTTTGCACTGTTATTGTACCAGCCATCTTTCTAGTCCAGAATTCCCTTTGCCACTTCTAATTGCTGTCACTCCACTGTGCCCTGTTGCCTGGCAGCAAAGCTCTGTAGAAATGTGTAATTGATTTTGAATGCAGACTCAGGCTTTCGGCTCACAGCACATGGATGAAGATGTGCTCTGTAGGGGGACAGAGCGGCATTGCAAAGGGTATCTCACAGCAGCGGTGTGACAGCACATTCTGTCTTGTTTAAAAGGAGAAGATCCTGATTTAAAAGCTAGGTGCAATTGTCAAATACCTCAACACCAGACATCTAAGTCACTAAATAAAAGGTTGTAATGTCTGTGATGAGTTCACCTAAAGCCAGGGTTGACAAAACAGCACTTTTTCAGGTTTGATTAAGGTGGCTTAGCATGTATTATCTGTCTTTTGAGGAGAGCTGTTTTGTAATTTTGTTGTCTAAAATTGAAGAGACCACTTAGTTGACACTGTATGACACAAAGCCATTTATTCTGTGTAAACCAACACAGCTGCTCTGTCTACACTCTGAACAGCCAGCTTGGGTTTTAGCAGCAGCCTACTTGGAGAAGTACAGAGCTCTGCAAGACAGGTCATCTGCTCTCCACTGAAGTTTTGCAGCTGGAAACTTTGTATTATTCCATCTAGACTCTCTAGGCACCCAGGAAGGTCTGTTGTCTCAATGACTTGTAGCAGAGTATGTGTCTTTATTCTTGTATATCTTTCAGAGAAAGAGAGAGATGAATGAAAACCAAAACACTAATTAAACAGCAAAACTACTGGGGATATTCCTTTTAAATATACTCCTGCTAGCTAATGTGAAAGCAGCTTTCCCAGAGAATCTGTCTTTGTCTTCCTTCCCAGCAGAGAGTGAAAGCCAGATGCTCCTGCTGAGGAAGAGCAAGGATAATAGTAGATAACCAGCCTGGACAAATGGGAGTAATACTATGAAGGCTAATAGCTCATCATGTGGAGATCCAGCAGTGGGATATGAGGGCTGAAGGAAGCCTACGGGGAACAGGCAGGATGAGTTGTTTGTTTGTTTGTTTGTTTTTTGCCAGAGCACCAACAAATGATGTTTCAAATACATAGAACCAGATGTTAGAGCCTACTTCTCCCAAAGATCCAAAATCTCACTTTGGTTACAGTCAGTCTAAAACTTGAAAAAAAAAACCCTCTTTAAAGGCCTTACTGAACTCCCATTTCTTGCTTTCCACATTGTATACAGCACAACATACACCAAAACTTGTTACCAGCTGGTACAACCAGTTTGATAAGTAAAACTTCAGTAGGATAGAAAAAGTCATTCAGCCTGCCCTGCCATGGATTCTGACTTGTATGTTGCTTCTGTTAGAATAGTCTTAAACAGCAGGTACTGTACATCCCCTATTGATGCCCCATTTTTCCCCTATCTCAGTTTCCAGTATCAGTGAGAAGCTTTCCTCGTTTGTTTTTTCCTTTAAACAGGTACTTCATGGGAAGATGAACAAGCCAGTCAGAGACTAAATAAAGATGTTTCCTGCACCTTTCCACAAAAAAAGAGAGAGAGTTTATCTGCCTCTTCCTCTGGAACCTCTTCGCCAGTGCAATTCGAAGCAACTGAGAAAATTAAGCAAGTCAAAACTAGACTGCAGCTGGTGGACCTGGCCGGTAGTGAGTGTGTCGGTAAGGGAACATGCCTGCTTGTGGGCATGGATCCTCCCAGATCTAGGTTACAATAGTTGCCTTTAGTTCTTTTGTGGGGGAGTACATGCTACCCTGCTCACATACCAGACTCGTTTAAACCCACAGATCCTGCCATTAAAAAAATGTTGAGGGCTGATTGTTCCAGTTTTACACTGGTACAGTATAACAGAAAATCTGACTGCATATGCTTAAAATAAGCCCAGTGCGTTTACCCATATCATAGGTATATTATTTGTTCAAATTGTTTTTATTATGCCTGTTTTTCTGCTCTGGAAATTAGCATGGTTTTGTACAGAAATGTTTAAAGTGCATAAATTATTTAAATATTACAAATATCTGTAATAATTGATACCACCACGTGTAGGGTTTTCTGCCTTGTTGTGGAAAAAGTCTTGGAGGAAATTAGTGTTGAAAAGATAATATTGTTTTCATTGTTTCTTCAAAGCATTTTCCTCCTCCTGCCTCCTCTATGTACACAATAATTTCAAAAACTTGATTATTTCCTAAAGGACAAGCTTTCTTACCAAGAAAAACCATGCAGCCAAATGTACCATTCCAGAAATAATGTTTTGAAAACTGAACCAGTATTATGAAAGAGTCTTTTACTTCACTGCCAAGAATTTTTGCTGTTGCTCACTGTTAAACTTTTGTTCTATAGAGAAACCTAATACAATACTTTTTTTTTTTTTTTCATTTGCTCTAAACGCTGAAAACATGTAATTGAGCAACAGGGTGTGTGTGTTTGTTCTCTCAGTTAAACCAGGACAAACATTTCCTTGGGTTGGGGCTCGGCAGGCCAGATCCTCCAGTGAAGCCAGAAGAGCTGTGCTAACATCAGCGTTAGATGTGGCCCAGCACACACAGTAGACTGACCTCTGCCATCAGCCGTGCTGGTGAACTGACCCTGGTAAAAGTGAGGGCAGCTGTTAACTCATAATTGTTTTAAAATGTCGGCAAATCTAAGCGACCAGCAGTACATCAGGCTTCTCATACGCCTCAGCACCCTGCCTTGTTAGCTCCACAGCCATGCTGGTTCATTTACAGCATTTACAAGCCAAGTGGTCCCTTTCTGGCAAGCTAGGCTTCAGTTTGAAAACTCAGCTACCTGGTTTCGTGGAAGTTCATCTAACCAAACACAGATAACTGGCGGTTAAACAGGTACCCGCTCACCTGTTTGCAGTTTTCTGCTTTAGGGTGGTATCCGTTGTCTCAGGAGTCCACCTTTCCTTGAATAAAAGAAGCCTGGGAATATCTGTATATGCAATGACCCCAGTAAAGTTAGCCTGAGATTCATCCTGTCTCTGATTGTTGTCCCCCCTTTGGCAGGTCTTCCAAATGTTTTGCTCTGTGTCTCTCTGACAAGAGACTCTACCACTCTAACCTCATCCTCTCCCACAGTCACATTTCTCCTCATCGTCCAGACTTCTGGGGTTTATGCTATTACTGTGCCTTTTCACATTTGCCTCTTGAACTCCTCATTTGTTCTCTGAGTTTGGAAAATGCTGGCCTAAGGGAAAGACAAGATCTCCAGCTGCTCCCTGTAACTGTCTAGAGGTGGGAAAGTAGGCAGCAGAGGAAACTGTTAGCCCTATCTGATCCTCCCATTACCGTGAGCTCTGCCTAACATGGATCATGTGCTCTGGGAAAGGAGAATTGATTGCAGATCACTTCTGTACCTCATCCACTGTTCTGAACAAAGCTCGAATTTGAATAATGTGATACTAAATGCTAACAGAAAATTTCTCTTCCCCAAATGGACAGAAGGAATTAATTACTCTTAACTGCACACTCATCTAGACTGATTAAAGAGTTGAGCTTGCAGCACCTCTTTGAATCGGTGCAAGGTGTTGCATAGACCAAATCTTTCCAGCGTTGCTCAGGGGCAGCACAGCTACAATCATGCTGGTTGGGTGGTAGAAGGGCATAATTTTCCTTTATCCATTTCCTTATGGCAAATCATGCCATAAACCACCCCCTCACAGCCTTGGGTGGACACAAACCCCTCACACTTGTGGCTGCTATACAGTTTTGCTTCTGCAGCTTGTGTCATCAGTGCCTCCCCTCTTTTTCCTAAGGAATACAGATGGGGCAGTTACCTTTTATAAAAAATGGTGAAACAAAACAGGCTTCTTTCTGGGGACATTGTGGACTGGTGTTTTGTCTTGTCTGATCTTAAGGTGTTCCTATGTTCTCAGTTCCTTGTTCTTAATACATATGAAGCCAAAGTGCATTGTACAGCTGAAGAGATGAACTTTAACATGACATGCTTCAGACCATCTGTAGACACTGAACCTTCTTTAACCTTCCTTTAAAAGAGTAGAGCATTAAACAATGTATTGGCAGTCCAGACTGAAAAACTACTGCATCTTGCTTTTGGCATGGGTGGGCTGGAAGTAGAGGTTCAGAATTTGTGGTTAAAAATGTTGAGTCAAAAGTAGACGATACAGCAACAGAATTTCCCCCACATTACTGTTTGAAGCAGCTTTGCTTAGTGTGACCATTGCCTTTTTCTACACTGTACCAGGTATGTCTGGAGTGACAGGGGCAGCACTGAGAGAGACATCGTTTATTAACCGCAGCTTGTCTGCCCTGGCCGATGTTCTCGGAGCAATAGCAGAGCAGCGGTCTCATGTCCCATATCGGAACAGCAAGCTTACCCATCTGCTTCAGGACTCCGTAGGTGAGGGATTATTCTGACTTCTGTTTAACACTGTAGATGTCTTCTCCTGGTTTTCTCCTTCATTTGTTGTATAAAACTAGAGGATGATCTTGTACTCCTTGCTTTTATGTGGCCTCTGTTCAAAGACTCTGGCCCTGGAGCCAGTATGAGTGTGAGTACACCGTGAGAGTTCTGAACTCCTCCTGAATTTGGCTAAACCTTGCTGTTTCCAGGGTTCATTTGAGGAACATCTCAATAGGATCATGTGAAAGTTAAAAACTGCATTTCACTGGTGTTTCATGTCAGGTACAGTTTACAAGTTAAACTTCAGTCTTTATTACTACAGGCTATAATCAAGTATTTACACATTCCTTAATATTGTGCCCTGTAGCAGTGAGATAAAGGAGGAAGACAGGACATGGTACTTAGCTACAACTTCTTTCTGTGTTTGGGACACTTCCTCTTCTCTAGTTCCTCATCTATGCAGAAACAGTTTTAAAGCAAGTGCTATTCCTGCAGTAATGTCAGATTTGTGTCTATTTTTATAGTATCTTAGTCCATTTTCCTTCTGCCAGAAAATATTAGCTCCTCATGCTTTTAATCTCCAAGGCATTGACAGGGAACGAGATAACAGTTTTTCAGAGCTTCTGAAATACTATTAATTTTTACTTAAACTTTAAATTTCATCTGTGCTGGAGTCCCTACTGTGAAAAGGGAAATCCAAAAAGAGAGGGGCTATGTTGTGTGGGCGCTGAGCTTGCTTTTGACCACGCCTGATGTATGACTTTGGTGATACTGTTTATGTAAAGTGTTGAAAATGGCAATTT